GCACAACCAATGGCGGGGCCCACTCCCCTCCGCCCCCCAGCCGCCGCTCCTGCGGGCGCTGAGCTCTAGGACCAGAGCCCCGCTCTGGCGAGGGAGGAGCTTCGCCAGCGTAGGAAAATCTTGGAGGAGGAGGAGGCGTTTGCGCAGGGAGCCCCATCTGGGAAAGGCAGGTGTGGTGCCCTTAACTTTTGTGTCTGTGTTGATTCCAGGACGCAGTTTCTTTGGGGACTCAGGGACCTCTCCCTGCAGGCAAAAGCGTCTTTCCTCCAAGTTTCTTCCCCTCTTACATCGTTTGAGTCCCGCGATGCCCCCACTCTAAACCACGAGCCCCCATGCATCAAAGCAAGCCCAGCTCTGAGCCGCGTGGGGGCATCGCCCCGTCCTGTGACGAGCTTCGCCTCGGACGTCTCTCCTTTAGCATTTCTCTCCTTTCCTTTCTCAATCCTGTGCCAAATCATCAGATGAGTCGAATAGGATTGCAGTTTCTATCACTGTCAAGGAGACAGGCAATCATAAAAGTCCCTATCCGGTAACTGGCATAGAGAGAGTCATACATCTTAAAGGATTTCAGGAAAGGGAGCCTTTTGCTGATACGACTAACTTCGGTTACCAATCAGCCGCGTGACCTTCACCCAGCGACTCTGGGTTCCTGGTTTTCAACTGAAAAATGAGAGATTTGGCTCATTTGATGTCTGAGGTCTCTTCCACTCTGACATTCAAAAATCCAGGTGGCTCTCTGGCCTCTGTGGCCTGCGAAGAGCTGGGCCCTGGGAAGTGTTGGTACAGCCACCTTTTCCTCCAGCCCCTGCTCCGCCCTGCCCTGCTGCATTCACCCTAACACCATCCACCTGTGGCCAGGAAAACAAATCATGCAAATCCACATAAAAAGATGCTGCTTGAGTCTCAGTGACCATATAAACTTGCATAAATACTGCCACTACCAGTGCCCAGCTCCTGGGATCATGGTAGTTGTGCCCATTTTCAGTGGTTCTCCAGGTAGTGATGGATGAGGGCATCCGGCTTAACTAGGAGGCACCCCGGGTAAGTGAAGAAAGGCTCTATCTCTTTCCCTTCCCTTTCCAGGGGAATTGTCCTCATGTTAATCTTTTCTATGTGCATCTTTCTGTACAGGATCTAAAATGCAAGGTGCTGGAATGAGCTGCCTTGTCCGGAGGGCAGATTCAGAGACCTGCCACTCTCCCAGCACACTTGCATTTGTATCTTAAACTTTGCCCATTCACATGCCACTTTCATGAGTTTTGTTACATCCATCTACCACTTGCTCTATTAGGTACTTAATATTTTACCTTAGATTTTTACTTAGCGTCATCACAGCAGTAATATCCATGAGGTCATTGGTTTGTTATATACCAATTGTATTTCAATGCAAAATAATTGAATAATAAATCATCTGTAAGGGCTTCCCTGGTATCTTCTGAACTTGGTTTCCTAGGGCTGCTATAACAAATGACCACAAACCGTTTCAAAATTGATATGGGAGGCAAAGCTTCTCTTGTCTTTATTTTTTAAAATTTCATATACAAATGATCTAGAAAATGTGTCAAATTGGCTTCCATAAGAAGTTTTCAAAAGTACGTTAGGAACCATTCAAGGGCCTGGAAGTTTTCAGGCACAGTTTGGAGACATAGTTCCAGTCTCTAGTGACCATCATCATCCCACCTCCCCTCCTACCGCCAGCCCTCTTCCATCTTACGCAGAGAGAGATGGATTGGTTTTTAAAAATGTGGAATTTGGAATCACATGGAGAGTCATCTGATGCTGTCACTTATTTGTGTGACTTGAGCCAATCACTTAACCTCTCTGAGTTTCATTTTTCTTATCTATAAAACAGAAACACTTTATTAGGTTGTTGTGAGGGTTAAATACACACACACAAACACACACACACACAGTTCCTAGCAATTGTCCTGCACGTAGTAAGTGCTTAAAAATGTTAGTCCTATCTTTCCTTCCTTGCTTCCACCAAAGCAGCATTCAGAATTCCTTTGTCCATTCTCTAATTTCCTTCTAGGTTATCAGGAAACTTATATATTTTTTTTAATACTCCCTGGTCTCATCCTCTGCTCCCTGTCCTTGATTCCTTCATCTCTGACCACTTTTGATGCTTCCTCCTCAAACTCCATCCACTCTCTCATGCCTCCAACTCTCTTCTTTCAACTAGTTCTCACCTTCCATCTGCCACAGTCTCAGAGATCTGGGCTCTGTAAAGGAACTGAAATAACTCTGAGGAGAGTGCAGGTCACAGAAATTCTTGCTTCTTTTGGTCTTTTGGAATGTGTCAATAGTCCTTTTTGTTTATTTGCTTGTTTAAATCATGGTCTTCCCAAAAGCATGGAGAAATTTGTTATCTAATGCTGTAGAAAAAATTCCTGGGCCAGAGTCCTGTGAAATTTGACAGACATTTTTGGAGCATCTGCTATATGCCAGGCAGTGCCCTGGGCACTAGGGAGATAAAAGTAAAGACAACATTTCTGCCCTAAAATGCTTACAGTCCAACCGCCCAGACAGACATATAAATACTAACTTTGAATATAAGTGTGCCTGGTGAGGTTTCAAACAAATAGTGCACATGAAAGAATTTCCTCTGCCTTTATGGTTATGAGATTGCCTTGGACTGGCCAGTCAAATGCCCACCCTGCCCATAGCCCACTGCTGAGTGAGTGTTCTGCTCCCCAGAGCAGAA